TTAACAGAAGAGGAAACAGAATACTTAACTCCATTTTAGAAAAAGAAATTGAACAAGTCATCAATGAACTTCCTAAGAAAAAGTCCCCAGGACCAGCTTAATTCACAGATGAATTCTACTAAATATTTGAAGAACAATTAATCCCAATGCTATATAAACTATTTGGAAAAATAGAATAAGAAGAAGTTTGAGCAAATTCCTTTTATGACACAAATATGATGCTGATATCTAAACTAGGAAGAACAGAAACAGAGATAGAAAACTAGAGACCAATTTCCCTAATGAATATTAATGGAAAAAAATTAAATAAAATATCAGGAAGGAGATTACAGCAAAGTATAATAAGGATACATACACTATGACCAGGTGGGATTTATACAGGAATGCAGGGCTGGTTCAATATTTGCAAAACTGTCAGCATAATAGACCATATCAATAAGAAAACCAACAGAAATCATATGATTATCTCAATAGATGCAGAAAAAGCTTGTGACAAAATGCAACACCTATTCCTAATAAAAACCACTAGAGAACAGAGGAATCAAGAATCAACGGAGTTTTCCTTAAAATAATGAGTAGTCTCTACTTAAAACCATAGCAAGCATTATTTATAATGGGGATAAGCTAAAATCCTTCCCAGTAGGAAACAAAGGTGCCCATCATCACCACTATGGTACTAAAAATGCTAGCTATAGCAATAAGAAAAGAAAAAGAAATAGAAGGAATTAGAATAGGCAATGAGGAAACAAAACTATCACTCTTTGCAGATGATATAATAATACACTTAGAGAATCCTAGATATTCAACTAAAAAACTAGCTGAAATAATTCACAACTTTAGCGAAGTGGCAGGATATAAAATAAACCCACATAAATCATCAGCATTTCTATATCATGCCAACAAAGTTGAGCAGTGAGAAATATAAAAAAAATTACTTTAAAAAATAATTGTAGACAATATAAAATACTTGAGAGTCTACCCAGGAACACAATTATAATACATTTTTCACACAAATAAAGTCAGATATATACAATTAGAAAATATTAATTGTTCCTGAGTAGGCTGAGCCAATATAATAAAAATTCTATGTAAATTAATTTACTTATTCAGTGCCATAGCAATCAAACTACCAAAAATTATTTTATAGAGCTTGAAAAAATAATTTTTAAATCCTTCTGGAAAAACAAACGGTCAAGACTATTAAGGAAACCAATTTTTAAAAAAGCAAAGGAAGGTAGCCTAGCCATACTAGATCTCAAATTGTATTATAAAATGGCAAATCAAAACAATCTAGTACTGGCTAAGAAATAGAATTGTGGATCAGTGGAATAGATTAAGTACACTACACAATACATTGTAGTAAATGACCATAGTAATTTCATGTTTGATAAACCCCATCTGAGATTTTGAGGACAAGAACTCACTATTTGACAAATAACTGCAAAGTAGCATGGTAGAAACTAGGTATAGACCAACATCTCATACTGTATACCAACATAAGGTCAAAATAGGTAGATGATTTAGACACAAAGGGTGATACCATGGGCAAACTAGAGAAGCATGGAATAGTTTATTCATCAGATTTATGGATAAGGGAAGAATTTAGGACCAAACAAGAATAGAAAGTATTATAAAATGTAAAATGGATAATTTTGATTATATTAAATTAAAACAGTTTTGCACAAACAAAATCAATGCAACCAAAATGAGAAGGAAAGCAGAAAACTGGGGAAAAACTTTTATAGCAAGTGTCCCAGATAAAAGCTTCATACTCTAATATATAGAGAACTGAATCAAATTTATAAGCATACAAGTCACAATGTATAGAGAACTGAATCAAATTTATAAGCATACAAGTCACTCCCCAATTGATAAACGGTCAAATGATATGAGCAGGCAATTTTCAGACAAAGAAATCAAAGCTATCTGTCACATAAAAATGTTCTGCATCACTATTGATTAGAGGGATGCAAATTAAAACAACTCTTGAGGCACCACTTCACATCTATCAGATTGGCCAATATGACAGAAAAGGAAAATGATAAATGTTGGAGGGAATGTGGAAAAATTAGGACACTAATGTATTGTTGGTGGTGTTGTGAACTGATCCAACCATTCTGGAGAAGAATTTGGAACTGTGCCCAAGGGGCTACAAAACTGTGCATAATTTTTGACCCAGCAATACCACTATTTGGTCTATATCTCAAAGAGATTAAAAATTTGTATGAGGGCATTTATAGCAGCTTTTTTTTTTATTGTGGCTAAGAATTGGAAACTGAGGGGATGCTGGGGAATGGCTGAACAAGTTGTGGTGTACAATTGTAACACAATGCTCTTGTGCTATAACAAATGATGACCAAGATGACTTCAAAAAAACCTGGACTTACATGAACTGCTGTAGAGTGAAGTGAGCAGAACCAGGAGAACACTGTATACAGTAACAGCAATATTGTACAATGATCAATTGTGAATGACAGCTATTTTCATCAGCACAGTGATCCAAGACAATCCCAAATGTCTAATGATGAAAAATGCTCTCGGTCTCCAGAGAAAGAACTGATGCCACCTGTATACAGACTGAAGCATATTATTTTCTTTCTCTTTCTTTCTCTCTTCCTTTCTTTAAGTTTCCATCCAAAAAGTGACTAATATGTAATTATGTTTTATATGGTTGCACATGTATAACCTATATCAGATTGCTTATCATCTCAGGGAGGGGCAGAGGAGGGAGGGATTGAATTTGGAACTCAAAACAAAAAAAATGTTGAAATTGGTTTTAGATGTAATTGGAAAAAAATAAAATATTATTTTAAAAAATTATATCTGCTTCCAGAGAAAGAACTAACCAAAAGAAAAGACCAAAGCACACTATTTTTGTTTGTGTTTTCTTCCCTAAAAAGACCAATATGGTCATGTTTTACATGATTGCATATGTATAACCTGTATCAGATTGCTTACCTTCTTAAAAAGGGGGTAGGGGAGGGAGGGAAAAAAAATTTGGAATTTTTAAAAATGTTAAAAATTGTTGGGAAAAATATTATAAAAAAAGAATTAAGGATAATTGATTAAGACTTCCTCTAGAAGTAGGAGTTTAGGTGAGACTTGAAGAAAGGGAAGCTAGGAGATGAAGATGAGGAAGGAGAGCCTTACAGAGAAGAGGGACAACCAGCAAAAACACTTGAAGTCAGGACATGGAGTGTATCCTATGTGAGGAATAGCAGGTCAGTGTCACTAGATTGCAGTGTCTTTGAAATGTGGGAGGTGGGGTGCAGGCTCTGAAGGACTTTAAAACCAAACAGGATTTTATCTTTATATTTTATTGTGGAGGTAACACACATAGAGTCTACCTACATATACACATATCTATACATGTGTATAATGAGATAATATAACTATATATAAAAGGAGAGAATGTATAAATAAATCAGAATATAAATATACACACACATATAAAGGGAAAGAATCAATGAATGAAAAAGCATTTATTGAGTACTTACTGTGTGCCAATCACTGTACTAAATACTGAGGCAGGGGGAGGGGTCTTAAGACACCCCAAGTCTCCCTTTTTAGGAAAAGAGAAACAGAGAAAGAGAAAACAGAGAGATATAAAAAGGAGGTTCAACTTAATACTCAAAAAGCATAACAGTATGGGGCAATTTAGATTAGAAGCAAACTGCTGAATATAGTTCAATAACCCCGAGGAAAAACAAATACAGCAAAATACATGGCATTAATAATAATGACCCTGAGCTATCAAAGAAGGCTTACATTACATATTTTGCTTAAAGAGAAATATATAATGTGTTCCATCAGAAATTATTAAAAATAAATTATAATACTTAAATAAACTTCAGATTTAAGGAGAATTTCCCTATTCTATGGAATGTTATTACACAATCATGGATAAATGAGTCAGTACTGTCTTTCAAGTTTCTATTTTTCCTTTTTAGTTTCATTTGCTATCATGAAAAACACAGTGTATATCATAATGAAGAAATGAGACATTTCCCCTCAATTGCAAACAGCTGAAAATAAAGAAAAACAAAATGGCACAGACCAAAGTTTGCTGTTTGGGGAAGAAGAGAGGTTTGGAAAACACATTAAAAGGGAAAGCAAGTGAATTTAAAGATAGAAAAAATGTTAGAGAATAGGTAGCCCAATCCCCTTATTTTATACCTCAACAAGGTCCTAGGAGAGAATTAATTTGCTTAAGGTCACACAAGTAGGAAAAGATAAAGAATCCAATCCCACATCCTCGATTCCAAATCCAGGGTTCCTTCTATTATGCCATCCTGTCTTTCTGCTAGCTATAGTTTTACAAGTTTAATTGGTTTAAAGACCACCAAGAGACTGTCTTGGTAGTCTGGAAGAATCACATCCAAGTCTTTATTTATATTCTTACTAGCTGAGGGACCCAGCTCTATAAAACTAAGTTGCGGAGGAAGTGTAGATCAGTATTTGTTTAGATAATTCTTACAGTGATCAAATCACACTTTCTGTCCCAAAAGACGTCTATTAACAGCCCAGAAGTGATTTTTGCCATTGAGGGTGGGGATGGTTGACTGGGAAATATGTTCACCTCGGCATGCAGCAGAGCAATCCTTAACTCTTTTTTTTCAGGACAACTAGCCCATCTAACCTGGACCGATGTCTGTCCAAAGAAAGCTCAATATAAAATAAGTTATTTCTTTTAATTGTAGGTGCTAATTGAACAGATTGTGTTATTCCATTTATAGTCACTTCAGCATAATCACATATAGCATATTTATTAATGTATTTTCAAGTGGTTCAATTTCTTGATTGATCTAGGTGACTAATAAACTCCTGGTTATAAGAAAGTAAAAATGGTAACAGAGAAAGCAATAAAAATTAAAAGGAGACGAAAAGGAGAAAACCAGCCTCATTATAATCGCACTGACTTTTGCCCTACCCGATGTAGGGAGAACACACCCGATTTCTCCACCCTTGGTGACTTCCGCCCCCCTGGGGCGCAAGCATCTCTGGACCCACCCCCTGTAGTCAAGCCTTCCCGGCTATAAAAGGCAGCCGCTGGACTGGCTTAGGCTCAGAAGCTGTCTCAGGCTCAGAAGCTGTCTCCTAAAGGTGAGTGTTTTGTCCAGTTTCCTCTATCCAAACCCTGACCCGGTAAGAGCACCCCTTCTGGGGCTACATCAATAGGAAAAGGGGGAGAGTGTGTGTGTGTGTGTGTGTATGTGTGTGTCCAAAAATCTGCCGTGCTTAGCCCTCCTCCCGACTGGAGCATTTAGACTTCCTCCAAGCGGGACAGCCGACTTGGCTTGGCAGGTGCAAGGGAGGGAAGACCACTCAGTTCAGGAAGGTCCCCAGGGTTACCTAGTTCCGGGCAGCGCTGCCCAGTTCTGGGTCCGCTCCCTTCCCGGTAGGCATCCACGCACACCCAGGCTCACAGAAGGAGCCTGGGGGTGGGGCTGCGAAGGCAGCGACTGGCGAGAAAGGGAGAAGCCACGGCCGGGAGCACCCCCCACCCCCGCGCGGGGCACCGTCCCACTACACTGTTACGAGATCCTCTGGGGTGAGCCGTGGTCCCTCCTACCTTGGCCCCCAGCCCCGGCCGTCTCGAGCTGCTCTTGGGGGCAGGAAGCGAGGCAAGGGGGTGGTTCTCTATTCCTGAGAGGAGGAAGTGAAACTACAGAACCTTAGAAACGCCTCCAAACCTCAAGAGGTACTCTCTCCTTACTGGGAGAAAAGAGGAAGGAAGCCTCGGAAGCTGCCGTTTTCTGCAAGGAGAAGATGAATCTGCAGATCGGAGGGGTTTAGTCTCTGTGTCTGGGGTGGGCAGGAGCGAGGGGCATTGCTCTGGAAGAGTCAGGGACCTCAAGCTCTTTGCGGACTGTTCATTCTTTTCTCCCCTCCGTCAATACCTGTTTGCGGGTTTACCCTGGACCAGGGGTGGGGAACCTGCGGCCCAGAGCCATTTGGGACCCTCGAGGTTCTCAAATGCGGCTGCAGGTTCCCCAGCCCTGTCCTGGACCTTACAGGAACCAGTTCTTCCTGGTTTTCGAATCCACGTCATTTTTTTTTCAGGCAAAGCTGGGGCAAATGCAGTACGTGTAGGTGTGGAGCCCCAAAGTACTTTCCTCCCAAATGTTAAGCGCTCAGAAATTAATCTTCTACATTTGGGGGGTGGGGGTGGGCATAGGGCATGGCCAATGAGGGAGTTTGTTTTACTTGACTACGAATGTTTGTGACTGTGGTTTTTTCAGTTGGATGAGGGAGGAGGAAACGCTAGATTTTTGTTAACTAATAAAAGTACTTAAAAAAAAGAAATCTATTCTCAGCGTGAGGCATGCCAAGTTCAATGACAATTCAAGAACATTTGCAGATCAAGTACTGTGTTAGAGCATCACGCAAGGCACTGGGCGAGCTCCAAATTTGCTGCTATCTTGATTTTGTTTTACCTCTGACAGATAATGACTTTGTGACACTGGGAGATGTGAGTTCAAATGAGTCCTCAGAAATTTACTCTGACTTTGGGCAAGTCACTTAATCCCTATTTGCCTCAATTTCCTTATCTGTAAAAAGGGGGATAATCTTAGCACCTACCTCCCAGGATCAAATGAGATAATATCTGTAAAGTGCTTTTTGAACCTTAAATATAGCTAAATATGTCACTAAAAGTTCCATGTTAATAATACTGATAATAACTCTCCTCCAGCTGCTGCTGCAACTCTGTAAGACTAAGACTAATTTTCGTAGAAGGTATATTTGTTTTGGTAGAGAGAGTTTCCTCAAGGGGAGTTCCTTATACTACTGAGATCACAGGTCTAGTCTTTTCCATATCCCTTCGTATCCCCAGCACCTAGCATAGTGCTCTGCACATAGTAGGTACTTCATAAATGCATGTTTAACTGAGGAAGCAAAGCACAACTCCTAACCTCATGGTTCTTGGTCTTCTAGGAAGTATGACTCTTAGACAACTACAATACATATAACATTTCATTGACAACTTAAAGATGCTACAGATTTATCCACCTATATACATCCAGTCCAGTTGGAGAAAAGAATATTGTCACATCTTTAGTAAAGTAGAGCCAGACATTGGGTTACTACTGAACATTAGTCTTGGATTAGTCTTCTAGTTTTCCTCCAAGAAAGCACATTTTACATATTAGGAAGAAGTCAGAGAGGCCTAAAAGGGCTTGATTCCCTCCTTCCCTTCAGGTGTGATTCAGTCAGAACAGGCTGAGGATTGGGAAAAATCCTAACACCAGCTTGGTTGGTATGGCCCTGAGATGTGTCACTAGATGTTTATTTTTTTGTTGTAGTCTTAAACCATGGAACAGCTGAGTGTGGCGAATACTCGTTTTGCTGTTGAGCTCTACAAGGAATTGGTTGATACCCGTCCAAAAGAAAACATTTTCATCTCTCCAGTTAGCATTTCAGCATCTCTAGCTATGGTACTTGTGGGAGCCAGAGGTGACACTGAAGCACAGTTGTCAAAGGTCAGGAAAAATTCTTTCCTATTAATATGAAAGGAGAGTACCCTGCTGTATGTACTACCTAATACCAGTTTTTCAGTTTTCAGTGAGTTGCTAAAAGTTAAATAATATGATCATGTATGTAACTTAATTATGAAGTCAAATTTCTTGTAAAAGCAACCCTCCAAAGATGTGGTTAATTTACATTTAACAACCGTTTCCCGCTGATCCTTTGCATGTGGTGATATGGCAGTCTAACATACACTGTTACAGTGTACATCTTATGCAGTAGGATCTGTCAGGCACACACATGTACATACACATAAATGATCAAATCTTTATGGGTTAGGGGGAGGAGAACCTGCAGCCTTGAGGCCACATGTGGCCTTCTGGGTCCTTGAGTGTGACCCTTCGACTGAATCCAGGTTTTACAGAACAAATCTTTTTTTGTTTTGTTTTGTTTTTGCTTTTTGCTAGGCAGTTGGGGTTAAGTGACTTGCCCAGGGTCACACAGCTAGTACATGTTGTGTGTTGTGTGTCTGAGACTGGATTTGAACTCAGATCCTCCTGACTTCAAGGCCAGAGCTCTATCCACTGCACCACCTATCTGCCCCAAACAAATCTTTTAATTAAGGAGATTTGTTCAGTGAAGTTTGGATTCAGTCAAAGGGTCACACTTGAGGACCTAGAGAGCCTCGTGTGGCCTCGAGGCTGCAGGTTCCCCTCCTCTGGATCTTTAGAAAGTAGAAAGAATTTTCAGACCACCACTACTATAAGAAATGTTCATGTGGATTATTTGTGCCAGACCTGTGGTAGAGCATTTAAAGCTTGTGTTGGTCTGACCAGCCAATTGGACACAATGTACCTTGACTCCAACATTTTGATCATTTGGTGATGTCATTTTGGTCCCCTTCAAGAATGAAGGCCAACAACCAACCAATTATGAGAAATGGAAACACTCTACCCAAGAAGAAGGTGATGATAACTTTTTTCCAGAGAATTTTCTTTAAAATGGTAGCCAGCTATCTTTCTAGGATAATTTGAGTATAAGTCTGCCAATAATCACTGGGAATGATTTAGTTAGTGACTTTGTGACACTTCTTCAAACCTATCATTGATAACACTCTTGCCCAGTGGAAGGATCACGGAACTTGGAGTCAAAATCTAGGTCCAAGTCCTTTGCTTTGGAAAAGTCATCTAATCACTGTGAGGTTCAGTTTCCTCATATATATAATGGCATATTAATATTTACACTAACTGCCTCAGCATTGTTCTGTGGTTTAAATTAATGCATATAAAATACTTTTTAACTATAAAGCACCATAAATTTGTAAGTATTCATTGCTACTTCTGTCATTGCTAGTACTGTTAACACTACCACCACCACTACCACCACCAAAGCAAAAGCATCTCATTTATATTATACCATACTAAGCCACAAACAAGATCATTTTACTGTATTTTTTTTCTTTATGAAAAAAATACAAGCACATGCAAGCTCCTTCTTTATCAAGACTTAGGAAGGACAATAGATTATTTAAATAGAAAAAAAAAGGCAAACCCATTAGCTTGCGGTCTGACTTTTGTTTGTTTGTCTTTGTCCTTGTACATAGCCCAAATAGACCCATTAGCTCAGCTTGGGAAGAAGTTTAGGAACCAAAGATGCTACTTACTTATTCAAAACCATCCTGCCCTTACTATAGCTGGTAACTTTAAAAATAATTTATTTTCTCCTTACATGTTATAAAGAGCTTTAAACAAATAACTTTTTTTGTGGGATTATTTTACCTTGTATTTTAAAGGAGAGAGTTTGGCACAGTGGCCAAAGAGCTGTTCTTAGAGTCTAGAAGACCTGGATTCAAACTCAACTTCACATATACTGGTTGTGTAGTTGGGAAAGTCACTAAATTTCTCATTGCCTCAGAAGGATTGCCTTTCTGATATATAGAAATTTGGGAAGTTTCCATTCTAGGAGTCTCCAGTACCAGTGGAGTCACATCCAGACACACACACATACACACATGTGTAGGTGTGTATATATGTGTGTGTGTGTGTGTGTGTGTGCGTATACATACACATATGTATATACACGCATATCCATCCATATACTGCTTCAGCTTAGGGAAAATCTGCTATGAGGTTTAGGAGTTTTTTTTTTCTTGCCCTTAAAAAAAAATTAGCTGTGAATCATTCATTGTAACCATCCAAGTCCACCTGCCTATGAATAACATGTACTTTGTATGGTTAGGTTTATCATATTTTATAACCAGTGAATCAGCCCAGTCCTCATAAAACCACCTAGCACTTTTGATAGAAGTAATGACTGCATGAATGTCAAACCTTAGAGTACTATTTAAATATATTGATATGTGAAGAAATTCGTTACTGATAATATCAGAGTAATAAAAGGAAAAACATGTTTAATATCATTGTGTCTATATATAGGACATAACTTTTATTAATTCTGATTAACTCTATAATTTCTCAGTAAAAATAATTGTATATAATATTGTGTCTATATATGTATGTCTCTACATATATAATATATGGAGTGATCACAAAGTCTGATACTTAACCACATGTGTGGGGGAGTAAAAATTGTTAGCATACAAGCAGCAAAGAATTCTGGTTTCTTTTATTTAATTATGTCATACTGCAAAGAAAAGGTAAGAGAAAGAGTTGTTTATTAAATATTTTGCATCATTTGTGAATGTATAATTATTTATGGAAATGTAGAAAACCATTCTCTGGTGTTATAGTTATTTATATCTCTGTCAATGTAATATTCACTATAATTTTTGCATATCTTTAAGTTTGATCTCCAGCAAAAATGCATGAAATGGAGTTTCAGAAATTATCAGTGACAAAAATATAATAAATGAATGGAAACAGGAATATCTTCCTATTCATAAAATAATTTTAAAAGAATTCCTTTTTTTTCCTCAACAATTCAGACCTTTCATTTTGATGAAGTTGATGAAGTTCATTCAAGATTTCAGAGCTTAAACACTAGTATTAACAAACATGGAGCTTCTTACATCCTGAAACTTGCTAACCGATTATTTGGAGAGAAGACATACAATTTCCTTTCAGTAAGTGTGTTTGGGGGAAGTATATGAATAGAAAACCTTCAATTTCCTTCCGGCATTTTCTAATTTAGATGTCCATTAGAAAGCTGAAAAGATCCTACAACCAAATAAATTAGTGTTTACCATCCAACCAAGAAAAATTTATTGAGAACCTACTGTATTTAGGGATATTGAAGATACAACTCTGTGTGTGTGTGTGTGTGTGTGACATTTAAAAAATTCAAGAGATGTAGTTTCTGGGTAATTTAATCATTTTATTCATAAGGCTAGCATATTATTAATAAAAGAGGTCAGTGGCATTCTCAAATGCCAAAGACCCTCATGGTGGCTCCTGCCTTATTTGGCCTTGGAAGAGGGTGTTCCTGAGAGTGACAATCAACTCTGATTAGTTAACATGAGAGAATGAAAATTACAATGAGGGGATGGACTTATTCTAATGAACTTTTAATTATGTCATTTACTTCTAAATTGCCCTTTGGGGCAATCTATTCAAAGAATTTATCCCCACCCAAATCTGAGTAGAGCACAATGGGCTTCCTCACTTGGGAGGGGTCTAAACAAGATTGTCAAGAAAATTAATCAAATCTAATTATCAGCAATGTATTTCAGAGATTGAGTTTTTGAAATAAGGACTTAAGAAAAAAGGGGATATCTGGATCTCCCCAAATCGTTGGTTATTAATAATCATTTCTCTCATTGTGTGTGTACATATCTATGCATATATGTGTATTTATACATATATAAAATTTGAAAGCTTAATTATTTGAATTTTTTATACATTTAGTTTTATGAATTTTGAATAGTTATTTAATTTTAATAAGACAGTATACCTTGTTATTATGCGTGGCATGTCTGACTATTTCAGGATGATACTCTCTCTTATCAGTCAAGATTGAATAAAAATGGTTCTCTTGCTTGACCACATTGGTCACCTGATCCGTCTCCATTAGACTTTTTCTCTTGGGGTCACAAACTGTTGTATGTGCATAGAAATCTTATGCTTTGGATGATCTCAAAGCTAGGATTCCAAACTCAATCCTTTGAGTTAAGGAGTAGCTTAATTTCTTTTTTGTTTTTTTTTTTTCATAGTTCAAAAAAATCAGCTAGAGTGATGCATAGTGCAAGTTGGTGGTTATGTTGAATTTTAATAAGAAACAGAAATATTTGTTAATGTTAAATAATTAAAGTTTCCAGTTTTTTTTAGTAAGTTTGTAGCTTTTATACTTTTGAAGTTATAGTATGTCATAGTGTTTGAAATTGCACTAAGACTTTTGAGACACTGTTCATAAACACAGATTCACACATATATGCATATATGTAAGTGTGTGTATGTATAATTGACATGGTCCTGGTCCTGAAATATCATAAAATCTATGCAAATTATAGTTTATAAAAGAGTCAGGATTATTATTTAATTACTATATAGTTTAATACTGACAAATGAGCTTAGTAAGGAATACTATTTTGATTTTCATGCTTTAATAAATGTGAGAATTGCTTTAAAGAGCTTCAGATAAATGTTATACAATAAAAATATATTGAGATCAACTGAAATCAGTTCTTTTAGTGGGAGCTAAATTCCCAGATTTTAAAAATAGAAAGACACCTACTAACACATTTTTCTCAAGCCATTGTTAGTACTCCCCGGGGCAGATTAATTGAAGATAAACGCTGTCTATAATTTTCACTGTAAAAAGCTGATAATGATAAATCCTTTAAGATTTTTTGATGAATTGTATGTAGCTCCAGAGACAAGCACAAGAGTTACTGTGTCACAATATTATTGACCTGTGGGAATAGAGTTCTCTATCACTTCCTCTTGCCTTGGAGGATTTTTTATAACTGCTCTAATTTCTGTATTTAATCTTTCTCTTTTGTAGGAATTCTTGGGTTCTACCCAGAAATTGTATGGTGCTGAGTTGGCCACTGTTGATTTTCAGCATGCTTCAGAAGCTGCTCGGAAGGAGATTAACCAGTGGGTCAAAGAGCAAACAGAAGGTAAGAGTGCCCTAGGTAGAAAACTGAAGAAAATCTATTTGTATACACTACATATGCAATTCTGTAGCACAAATAAAAGTATTCCTCATTCCCTATTACCGTTTTACAGTTTTTCCCACCCTAAGACTTCCATCTCTGTTCCTCAACTGATGCTTATTCAACAGAAGACAAAAATTATTTCTCAACCTCCTTAGGAGGAATCATTTGCATGCCTGTGAAATCTGCAATGTGTCTGCTTTAATAGTTTCTAACAGTGGAACTGGATTTGGAGTCAAGATGACTTGAGTTGGAATCTTGCCTCAGACACTAGCTTTGTGACCGTAAACAAATTACTTAACTTTTCTGAGCCTCCATTTTTTCATCTTCAACATAAGGGAGTAAGATTCAGTATCCTGTGAGGTCTCTTTGAACTCTAATTTTGTGATAATAGGATCCTGTAAATTGCATGTTAGGGTCAAAGATGAAAGATAATAAATTTAATCAGATTCTCTTTTGGCTGTGCTCAGGCCAAATCATTTGATGAGATTGACTGAATGATATTTTCCTTCCCAATAGCTCAGCTTTAGGATCAAAACCCATATTAGAGGTTAAGTTATAAGAATCAAGTTTTTGAGAACATTCTAGATAGCGTGACTTCAAATGACTTCAAAACATTTAAGTTAGCATTTTTTTAAGCTTATCAGTATGAATGTTATGGGTCTTCTTGGGTCTAAGTACAGTATATGCATTGACTTTTTCAGACTCTGTGTTGATTTATAATATTGCTTTCCTAGTGCACTCAATGCAATCTTAGACTCCAGAAATAACACATCTCCATAAATACCCAGATTTTGCCTTGAGAATAAATGCTTAATTTTCTATGATAAAAAATTCACTAGAATTACCACTACTCCCTGACCATAGACTATTTTTGTTTAGGAAAATAATGCTTTTTGGAGGTGAGATAAAAAGTCTTTTAGATTCTCAATATTCCATTTCATATACCTGAAGAGATGATTGGCTAGTGACTTAAAAGAACTCTGTCAAGGAATGATTTTATTTAAGTTAGTAATTATCGCCTGTAGTGTCAGGTTCATTGGCTGTGGATTTGTGCTGAATTCCACTTCCTTTCTTTGTGGTTTATGTATCATACCTGGCTGAACAGCTCATTGTCTGATTTAGTGTGTAAGCATTCTAGACATTGCTTTCTAACTTAGTCCTTTGCAGGCTTATGGGGGATTGGTTCTCACATGTTAAAAGTCAAGTATTTAAGAACTCACTATTTGACAAAAATTGCTGGGAAAACTGGAAAGGAGTATGGCAGAAACTAGGCATAGACCAGCATCTTACACCATATACCAAAGTAAAGTCAAAATGGGCTTGATTTAGGTGTAAAGGCTGATACTATAAGGAAGCTGGGACAGCAAGGAATGGTTTACCTGTCAGATTTATAGAAAACAGAAGAATTTATGACCAAACAAGAGATAGAGAATATTATGAAATGCAAAATGGCTAATTTTGGTTACTTTAAATTGAAAAGGTTTTGCACAAACAAAGCCAATGCAACCAAGATTAGGAGGGAGACAGAAAACTGGGAAAGAATTTTTATAACCAGTATCTCTGATAAGGACCTCACTTCTAAAATATATAGAGAATTAAGTCAAATTTATGAGAATACAAATCATTCCCCAATTGATAAATGTTCAAAGGATATGAACAGGCAATTTTCAGATGAAGAAATTAAAACTATCTATAGTTATATGAAAAAATGCTCTAAATCACTATTGATTAGAGAAATGCAAATCAAAACAACTCTAAGGTACCACATCATACCTATCAGATTGTCTAAGATGACGAAATAAAATAAATGTTGAAGAAGATGTGGGAAAATTGGAACCCTAATGCATTGTTGGTGGAGTTGTGAAATGATCCAACCAGTTTTTAAAATTTTAATTAATTTATTTATTTTTAGTTTTCAACCATCACTTCCATGAGCTTTTGAGTGTAAAATTTTCCTGCCCCTCCCTCCCGAAGACAGTGTGCAACCTGATATAGGCTCAACATATACATTCCTATTAAACATATTTTCACATTAGTCATGTTGTAAGGAAGAATTAGAACCACCAGAAAGAGGAAACAAAACAAAACAGAAGGGAAAAAAAAAGCAGATAGTATGCTTCGATCTGTATAACTCCATAGTTATTTCCCTGGATATGGATAGCATTTTCCATCATGAGACTTTTGGAGACGTCTTAGATCCTTGCGTTCTTGAGAAGAACTAAGTCTATCAGAGTTAGTCATTGCGCAATGTGGCTGTACTGTGTACAATGTTCTCCTGATTCTGCTCACCTGGTTCTGAAGGAAAAAAAAAGTCAAGTATTGCTCAATGCAGTTATATTGTAGTTTTGATTAGTTTAAATTCGGTGATTTTATATATGAATTAATAAATCATCTCACTTTTCAGGTAAAATTCCGGAGCTACTGGCATCAGGTTCAGTAGACAATCTTACTAAACTTGTGCTGGTGAATGCAGTCTATTTCAAAGGAAACTGGGAGGAGAAATTTGATGAAGCACATACTACTGATGCACAATTTAGATTAAACAAGGTGAGGGGACAAAAGTAAGGATACAATAGCCTTTTTAAAAAGGACAATATGTGTGTGTGCTTTTATGGAAAAGCATTCTTCATTGTCTTTTTTGTATGTTTCTGAATGTTTAGAGAGAAAAAAAATCAGTGAAAATGATGTTTAAGAAAACGAAGCTGCCTTTTGGTTATATCAAGGCTCTCAAGTGTCGAGTATTAGAACTTCCTTACAAGGGCAAAGAGCTGAGCATGATCATTCTGCTGCCAGATGATATTGAGGATGATTCTACTGGCTTGCAAGAGGTACCTCAGACACTTTGGATACCTTATAATCTTTTTTTGGACACACTGATTTTCCACATATGTGACTCCAAGTTGTGGGGGCAAAAAACAGATTTCACACCATAACTAAAATCAGTTGGACTCCATGAACATATTTGTTGTTGTTGTTCAGTCATTTTTCAGTTGTGTTCAACTTTGGGGTTTTCTTGGCAGAGATCCTGGAATGGTTTGCCATTTTCTTCTCCAGCTCATTTTAGAGATGAGGAACAGAGACAAACCTGACTTGTCCAGGATCACCCAGCTGGTAAATTTCTGAGGCTTGATTTGAACTCAGGAAGATAAATCATCCTGATTCCAAGTCCAGTGCTATATGCATTGTACCACCTAGCTGCCCTATGAACATATATACTCTTACTCATAACTCTTTTGAAGTTGCTATCAGAGCTACCCAATAAGAGATGCTTGTCCTATAAGAAGTGTACTTCAGTAATCTAAAGGCTCTTGAGTTGTGCTTACAGGTTTACTTTTAAGTTGACACGTTTAAGCTTTATGGTTTTGGAAAGGGCCTGAAGAAAATTGGCTCGGTTTAATTTGTTGATTTTGAAATTGTTATTAGAGCTTCATATAGAAACACAGATAGAGACAATACCATCTGAATTTAGATAAACAGAAAAACAAAGAAAGAGAAAAAAATGTTTCAACGTAGGGTGATACCAATGGGAGATAATGGTTATTTTTTTCCTGTGGCAAAGTTCAGGTATCACATAATATTTTTTTAACCTGCAAGCCATGGTATTGAACTCAGTAGCAAGCAGAAGAATAAGATACTTGTACTCTTTTAAGTTTATTCCTCCACAGATAGGCACATGGCCTGGTATAGAAGAAAGATTAAAAGAATTAGCATCACAGAACCTAGATTTTAGGCACATGGCTTGGTATGGAAGAAAGATTAAAAGAATTAGTGTCACAGAACCTAGATTTTAGGCACATGGCTTGGTATGGAAGAAAGATTAAAAGAATTAGCGTCACAGAGCCTAGAATCACTCACAGCGATACTCCTTGCTATTATGTATCCTTGAACAATCAACCAATTAGCAATCATTTATTAAGCATTTACTTTGGGGGGGGTGGCGATGGACGGGCTATGCTCAGCACAGAGAAAAATCCAGAAAAATGAGATGGTTGCTACCCTTAAGTAGCATATTTTCTAACTGGGCAGGCAATCCGTGTGTGTGTGTGTGTATGTGTGTGTATGGAATATAAAAGGGATATTTAAGATTATATATATATATATATACACACACACACATATATGTGTGTGTTTGTGTATAAATATATATATGTATGTGTGTGTATATATCTCTTAATTATTCCTTTTCCTTATGTTTAAAATGAGGCTTTGGATTGACTGATCTCTAAAGAGCCTTCTAACTTGAAATACTGTGATTCTGTGAACATAGGTTTTACAAGTGCAGGAGTTTTAGCATGGTAAGGGCTCAGTAAATATTTGTTGAGTGTATAGATTGCATGCCCAAATTTTCCTCAGTTGGACTGTTAGTAATGAAAATTCATCTGTGTCCTGTCATCACCAGTTAGCCTGCTGGATAAGAGTGCAGTCCTCATAAAGGAATCAGTTTTGTGGTAGTATTGGAAGGAAAAGAATGACCTGCCCATTCATATAAATAATAATAATTGTTATCATTTTGTCAATTCACCCATCTCAGCACCTAATGCAATGCAGTCATTAGGGTTCTGTCTTCCCTCTGTCTTTCTAATTTCAGATTGAAAAGCAGCTGAGTATGGAAAAGTTGGCAGAATGGACACATCATAAAAATTTGGATACCATTGATGTTCGTGTACATCTGCCCAAATTCAAGATGGAAAACACCTATAACCTCAACTCAGATTTAGCACGAATGGGTCTGCACGACCTCTTTACCAGGGGCAAGGCTGATCTGTCTGGAATGTCAGGAAGCACAGATCTCTATATCTCCAAGATTGTCCATCAGGCTTTTGTGGAAGTAAATGAAGAGGGCACCGAGGCAGCAGCTGCCACTGCAGGCATTGCAGCATTTGCCATGTTTGTGCCAGAAGAAGAGTTTAAAGTTGACCATCCATTCCTATTCCTCATCCGTTACAATCCCACAGGAGACATCTTATTCTTTGGCAGATTTTTGTCTCCATAAAACCTCTGGAAATGCAAATAGAGTAAAGAACACCAAATTTTTATATCTAAATTTAAAAATCATGGTTATTTGTTATATCAATTTTTCCAATAAAATTACTGTTCAGAAACACATTTTTAAGATTGTCTTTCCTAATTTCAATTAATTTATTGATTAAAGTCATGACTTTTCACACATAGCTGTTTCCTTATTTATTTTTGTCTCAAAGCTGTGAATGTTTTGTTGAAATGAATCAGGTTAGATTGTTGCCTAGGATGGGCTCTTGGCTATCAGAGCTAGAGAATTATTTACTTCAGATGGGATAATGGAGATTTATATTCAGTATTGACTGGGTGCCTACCATGGGCATGGCATTATGCTAGGTACTTGCGCTATAGTGACAAAAACTTAACAGTCCCTACCTTAAGAAACTTGTACAGGAGGAGAAAGGGGGCATTGTAGAACATGTAACCAGTCAACAGAACATCAAGTAGAGTGTGCAGGTCGAAAGAACTAATGTGCTAAAGAGTTATACTCTTTGTTATTACCCTCATGTACAAATGGCATTTGTGAGAAATTTTCCAAATAAAATCATCAGCATCTCTCTCCTGATTGCATAACAATAGCTAATATTTAAATATTATGTTCAGTTTTGCAAAGTGCTTTACATACATTATCTTATTTGAACAGCAAAACAACTTAGTGAGTTATATAGAATAAGCATTTTTATTGCCATTTTATAGAAGAGAATGAATGAAGGAAAATAAGTATTTCTTAAGGGCTTACTATGTGCCTAAGCACTGAGCCAAACTCTGGGTTACAAATACAAAAGAAAGTCCCTGCCCTCAAGGAGCTTACATTCTAATGGGACAAAATATAGGAGACAGATGGCTAGCATTTTGATATAAGAAATCACAGGGATGATTAACGGAGCCATAGAGCGGTCAGTTGACACTCTCCTTTTCTAGAAGCAACAGTAGTGTTGTTTACTATTCTTGGAGCATGAGGTAGAAGTACACCTGCAGGAGCATGGCAGGATAATATCTAGCTGTCCAGGTGAAATATTGGGATAAAGAAGTGGGTTTGGAGCCTGGTCAACGCAGCAAGGACATAATATCAATGCTAAATATATATGCACCAAGTGGTATAGCATCTAGATTGTTAGAGGAAAAGTTAAGTGAGTTACAGGAAAAAAGAACAAAACTATGCTAGTGAGGGACCTCAGCCTCCCCCTTCTTGGAATTAGGTAAGTCTAACCACAAATAAATAAGAAAGAAATTAAGGAGGTGAATAGAATCTTAGAAAAGTTAGATATGATAGACCTCTGGAGAAAATTGAATGGGGATAGAAAGGAATATACCTTTTTCTCAGTGATATATGGCACCTATACAAAAATTGACCATGTAGGAGGGCATAAAAACCTCACAATGCAATGCAGAAAGGCAGAAATATTAAATGTATCTTTTTTAGACCATGATGCAATAAAAATTACATGAAATAAAGGGACATAGAAAGATAGATTAAAATATAATTGGAAACTAATCCTAAAGAATGAGTGAGTCAACAAATCATAGAAACAATAACTTCATTCAAGAGAATGACAATAATGAGACAACATACAAAAACTTATGGGATACAGGCAAAGCAGTTCTTGGGGGAAATTTTATATCTATCAATGCTTACTTGAATAAAACAAAGAGGAGATTAATGAATTGGACATGCAACTAAAAAACTAGAAAAAGAGTAAATTAAAAATCCCCAATTAAATACCAAATTAGAAATTCTGAAAACCATAGGAGAGATTAATAAAATTGAAATTAAGAAAACTATTAGACTAATAAATAAAACTAAGAGCTGGTTTTATGAAAAACTAAAAAACAACCCCAATAAAATAAACCTTTGGTTAATCTGATTAAAAGAAGAAAACCAAATTATTAATATCAAAAATGAAAAGAGTGAATTCACCACCAATGAAGAGGAAATTAAAACAATAATTTTGCCCAACTGTACGCCAATAAATTTGACAACTTTAGTGAAATGGATGAATATTTACAAAAATATAAATTGCCTAGATAAACAAAAGAGGAAAAAATACTTAACTCCATTTCAGAAAAAAGAAATTGATCAATTAATTCCCTAAGAAAAAGTTTCCCAGACCAGATGGATTTACAACTGAATTCTATCAAACATTTAAAGAACAATTAATTCCAATACTATATGACTATTTAAGAAAATAGGCTAAGAAGGAGTCCTATCAAATTCTTTTAGTGATAGAATTACTATCATTAGTAATTGATATGGTGCTGATACCTAAACTGGGAAGAACCAAAACAGAGAAAGAAAATTACAGGCCAATTTCCCTAATAAATATAGATGCAAAATTTTTAAATAAAAAATTGGCAAAGAGATTATAGCTACTTGTCATGAGGATAATACACTATGACCAAGTGGGATTTATACCAGGAATGCAAGGCTGGTTTAATATTAGGAAAACTAACAGCGTAACTGACCATATTAATAATAAAATTAACAGAAATCATATGATTATCTTAATAGATACAGAAAAAGCTTTTGACAAAATGCGACACCCATTCCTATTAAAACCACTAGAAAGCATAGGAATAAGCGGAGTCTTCCTTAAAATGATAAGTAGTATCTAACACCATCAGCAAGCATTATATGTAATGGGAATAAGCAGGAAGCATTTCCAATAAGATTGGAGGTGAAACAAAGATGTCCATCATCACCACTGTTATTCAATATTGTACTAGAAATGTTAGTTTTATCAATAAGAAAAGAAAAAGAAACTGAAGGAATTAGAATAGGCAAAGAAGAAACAAAGCTATCACTTTTTGTAGATGATATGATGGTATACTTAGAGAATCCTAGAGAAGTAAAAAATGAATTGAAATAATTAACAATTTTAGCAAAGTTGCAGGATATAAAATAAACCCACAAAATTATCAGCATTTCTATATATTACTAACAAAGCCCAACAGCAAGAGATAGAGAAATTCCATTTAAAGTTATTGTATACGATATAAAATATTTGGGAGTCTACCTGCCAAGACAAACTCAGAAACTATATGAACATAATTACAAACATAATTACATTTTCACACAATTAAAGTCAGATCTAAATATTTGGAAAAATAGCAGTTGCTCATGGGTAGACTGAACTAATAGAATTAAAAATGACAATTCTATTTAAATTAATTTACTTATGCAGTGCCATACCAATTAGACTACCAAAAATTATTTTATAGAGCTAGAAAAATTAATAACAAAATTCATCTGGAAGGACAAAAAGGTCCAGAATAGCAAGGGAATTAATGAAAAGAAATGCAAGGGAAGGTGGCCTAGCCATACCAGATCTTAAATCATATTATAAAGTAGCTATCATCAGAACTGCTTGGTACTGGCTAAGAAATAGAGTGTGGATCAGTGGAATAGGTTAGGTACACAAGAGACACAGTAGTCAATGACTATGGTGATCTACTGTTTGATAAACCCAAAGAGTCCAGTTTCTTGGATAAAAATTCACTATTTAACAAAAACTGCTGGGGAAATTAGAGAACAGTACGGCAGAAACTAGGCATAGACCAAAATCTTACACCCTATACCAAGATAAAGTCAAAATGAGTACACAATTTAAATATAAAGGCTGATACTATAAGCAAATTAGGAGAGCAAAGAATAGTTTACCTGTCAGATTTATGGAGAACAGAAGATTTTATGACCAAACAAGAGACAGAGGACATTATGAAATGCAAAATGGATAATTTTGATAACATTAAATTTAAAAGTTTTTGAACAAAGTCAATGTAACCAAGATTGGAATGGAAGCAGAAAACTAGGAAACAATTTTTATAACCAGTGTCTCTGATAAGAGCCTCATTTCTAAAATATATAGAGAATTAAGTCAAACTTATAAGAATACAAGTCATTCCCCAATTGATAAATGGTCAAAGAATATGAACAGGCAGTTTTCAGATGAAGAAACTAAAGCTATCTATAGTCATATGAAAAAATGCTCTAAATCACTATTGATTAGAGAAATGCAAATCAAAACAACTCTGAGATACCACATCACACCTATCAGAAGGGCCAACATGGCAAAACAGGAAAATGATAAATGTTGGAGAAGATGTGGAAAAATTGGAACATTAATGCATTGTTGGTGGAGCTGTGAACTGATCCAACCATTCTGGAGAGCAATTTGGAACTATACCCAAGGGGCCATAAAACTGTATATATACCCTTTGACCCAGTAATACCACTACTAGCACTGTATCCCAAAAAGACCATAAAAATGGGGAAAGGACCCCCATGTACAAAAATACTTATAACACCTCTTTTTGTGGTGGCCAAGAATTGAAAATTGAGAGGATCCCATCAATTGGGAAATTGCTGAGCAAGTTGTGGTATATGAATGTAAGGAATACCATTGTGCTATAAGAAATAATGAGCAGGCTGACTTCAGAAAAAACCTGGAAAGACATATGGACTGATGCTGAGTGAAGTGAGCAGAATCAGGAGAACATTGTACACAGTAACAGTAACATTGTATGATGATTAACCATGAATGACTTAGCTCTTCTCAGCAATACAAGGATCTAAGACAATTCCAAAAGACTTATGATGGAAAATGCTATCAACATCTAGAGAAAAAAATTATGGAGTCTGAATACAGATCAAAGCATACTATTGGCTCTCTCTCCCCCTCTGTTACTTCTTTCTCGTGGTTTCTCTCATTGGTTCTAATTCTTCTTTACAACATGACTAATGTGAAAATATGTTTAATAGGAACATATATGTATAGCCTAACAAAAATTTAAAAAAAAATTATATTCTACAACCGAAAAAAGCAGCAAGGACAATAGCAGTTAGATGGCCACACAGTAGCAAGACGACCAGGTGTGGCATTATCAGGATATGGGATGAGATACACACACACACGTATATATATGTTGTTCAGTTGTTTCAGTCCTGTCTGACTCTTCGTGACTTCATTTGGGGTTTTCTTGGCAAAGATACTGGAGCAGTTTGCCATTTCCTTCTCCAGCTCATTTTACAGGTGAGAAAACTGAGGCAAACAGGGTTTAAGTGACTTGTCCAAGGTCACACAGCTAGTGTCTGAAGCCAGATTTGAACTCAAAAAGGGAGTCTTCCTGATTCCCTGCTCCACCTACCTCTGTGTGTGTGTGTGTGTGTGTGTGTGTATGTATGCATATGTGTATAGATAGATAGATGGATAGATAGATAAATGGATAGAGAGATAGATAGATAGATAGATAGATAGATAGATAGATAGATAGATGGATGGATGGATGGATGGATGGATGCTGCCTCTCCTGTCACACATATAAAATCATAGCTTGTTAGAGCTAGAAGATCTAGATCTCTTGGAGATCACTGAGCTGTTACCAATGAGCAAACTAGTGCGGAGAGGGATTAAGTGACTTATCTATGGACACAGAACAAGATGCTGTCAAAGTAGGGCTGAACTGGAGCCCATGTGTCCTTATAGGGGTTGAAAGAGATCTCCACTTACCTCATCTGAAAACCAGTGTGTGTAGGCGAAGGAGTGAGGAAGAAGAGTACAGTATTCCCAAGAGAGCCAGGTGACATTCCACAGAAATGAATTATCACAGTACTAAATCAAGAAAGAAACTTTTCTTGTCATGTTGGATATTCAAACGTGCCAAGGCCTCAGGCTCTACAAATGCAATTTTGATTGAAAGTGGCACACTTCTTATGTTTCCTAATGCTTGGAAAGTTTTCATGAAACAAACAAGATGCTTTCTAGTGCAGGATAATCCTTCAATAGGCAATTTCACCTTGGTATGATCTCTTTTCAGTGTTCCCTTAAAGTACCTAATGGGGGAAGAAAGACTGGAGAAGCAGGCTGGCAGCAGATGAAGTCATTCTTAAAGAAATGGAGGACTGCAAAGGACTTGCTCAAAAAACCAGGACACTGAAGAATCCCCTGCAAATAGCTCCACTGCTCTTCTCCCTAGTCATCCATGTGAGATTCTGGCTCATTTTGTTTATATTCAACTATTAGTGAGACAATGGGCAGCTAGGGGGCTCAGTGGATAGAGTACTGGTCCTGGAGTCAGGAAGTCCAGAGTTCAATTCTGGCCTCAGACCGTTACTGGCTGTATGACCCTGGGCAAGTCACGTAACTCTTCCTCAGTTTCTCAACTATAAAATGAGCTGGAAATGCCAAACCATTCCAGTGTCTTTGCCAAGAAAACTCCAAATGGGTTCATGAAGAATCAGATGTGACTGAAAAATGACTGAACAGTAAATACTCTGAGGTTCTGAGCTGCCCATAAAAATGGTGCATGCACTAACTCCTCTCTGTTCTTCATCTGGTAGCTGATATATTCTCCAGGATTCAATTTAGCAATGTGCCCTTTGAACTACGACTTCTAGCTGGAGGGGTCTAGCCTAATGCTCTACAGAGAAATATTATGTTTATAAATGAAAGAATAAAAGACAATGCAGGTTTCATAAGAAGTATAGGTCCAGAGCAGGAAGGGACCTCAGAAAGGATCTAGTCTATACTCCTTCATTTCATAGATGAGGAAACAGAAGCCAAGCAAGGTGAAGTGATTTGCCCTAGGTCACACAGGTAAGTCACACAGTGTCAGAGGTAAGATTTGAGCTTAGGTTCTCTGACTCCAGAAGCAGCGCTCATTTCATTATACTATATACATTATCTGATGGAAACAAGGACCTATAGCAATTTTCTACAATAGGATTGCCCTAAAGGATGTGTCTAGGTTTAAGAAGCAGTTACATAGGAATCTCAAGCTGCTGCTGCTGCTTCTTCTTCATCATCATCATCATCATCATCATCCTCTTCTTCTGTCATTGAGTCCTATATGCAACCTGAACTTAACTGCCTAACAATTTTGAAGATTATCAGAGACTATTCCTATCTGAGTCATTTGATTTATGGACTCAGATTCTTCAGACCAGACAAACAGCAAAGTTAAGGCCAAGAGGAACAAACAGGACAAACATTTCACAAAAGCCATGGTATGGCACAAGGCTCTATTTTGGTTTAGTGGCCAGAAATGTTACATACATATAGATTACTTTAAGGAAGTAATTTCTCAAGTTAACCTTAGAAGCGGAGGGAAAGGGAGGCAATATACTGGTTATTACAAAATAATTTACAATTTAAAATAAGTTACAAAATAAAACTAGGCTTAGCATTTCATGATTCTTGTACAATTCTGTTACTTTAGATAAAGAAGTTCCTCATATTTTCATAATTTACAAAGGAAGGACTGCAATACAATGTAACCTAGAATTTGGAGACCACCATTTCGCTTTCAACAGCCTCTTCTAGTTTTATAAAAAGTGCAGCTGAAGCAGGAATACTTTTTGACTCTTCATCTGGTGACTCCCCTTATTAAGCCTTATGATGGAATTGTCATAAAAGGAAGAGAGGGTACAAGAAGCAGCATCCATATCAGACAAACTTAAATTGGACTGTGAAGTGCCTGGAGTAAGTATTCAAATAGATTCTGGCGAGTGAAGATTTGAAGTGGGTTTCCATCTTCTGCTGGGTGTCCCAACCAATTTCAAAATTAAATCTTCAGTTAAAATTAGATTTTGCGATTACTGAAAATTTAGTTTGAATTGGCATGAAAAGAAATATGAAAAAAGAGCTAGCCTGGCTCTGGGAATTGAGTTTAACTGACTTACCCAGGGCCACATAAGTATCAGAAGTGGGATTTGAACCTGGACCTTCCTCTCTCCATTTCTAGCACTCTCTCCATTACACTGAACAGGATCCTTGTTACTTTTGGGTCTCACAGCAGCCCTTAGAGGTACATACTCCAGATATTATTTTCCTTGTTTTACAAAGGAAGAAAATGAGAATCAGAGAACTTTACAGAATCATACATTCAGGAGCTAGGTAAGACCTCAGTGACCATCTAATCATACCTCTCATTTTTGTAGACAGGAAAATGTAGAGGTTATGTGACTTGACCATAGTCATACATGTAGGAAGTATCAAAGACAAAATTTGAATCCACATCTTTTGAACTCCAAGCATATCACTCTCTACAGCTACACACTGTCTTTATTTATGCATTTCTATCCCAGACAATTCAATTATACCTTCAATAATTCTATAATCTATCTTGATCTGGTCTTAGAAGATTATAAAAATGTCCTTGCTATACTCAGAACCCAGGAAATTGCACAGAAATGGGTATCAAGATAGGAACTGTTAAATTCTCTTTCCCTAGCTCAATAACAAAACCCCCATAACACCTCTTGTCCCTTCTAGTACCTGAGATCAGCAACAAAAATATTGTGCTTGGCAGATGGATGATTGAGAAGGAACAAGAAGAGGACCAAAACAGATTTTTTTGTTGGATGAATGAATGAATGAATGATTCCAGAGAGCAGAATGACGAATGATGAATGGAAATTATAAGGAGATAAATTTCAGGGCAAATTCCTTTTTCTGTCACTGTATTGATAGAGGTATAGGCCTCATGACCAATGATAGAGACACAAGGCTCCTTTCCAATGGGCCATAGCTGTTTGACCCAAAAGTCCTAATTCTAGTCATGGTCGGCAGTTCATGAATTTAAGGGACGTGATGAAAGGGGATTCCCTGTCACTGAGGCATGGGGTTCAGGCCCTCAGCCCTGAAGGCATGATGTCCTGCCCACAAAGTGGCATCTGCTGAGGGTCCCAGGCCCAGCCATGATGAAGGGTTAATGTATAAGATCTTCCCTACCCACAGCCCAAGCCAAGGGACAAGGAACTTCCCTAATGTATTGTTCTGGGATTTGTTTCAACCCAGACCCGCCTTGGGGAACTATTCCTTAAAAACAAGTCTTGAGGTAAACATCCAGGAACTTGGCCAGTTCCTGGGTATTGACTCAAGACATTTTTGACATAACAAAGATTGTTCTTGAGGTCAGAGAGTTTCCACCAAAACTCTCAGGTCCTTAGGATTAATCACCTATTCCCGGGCTCTCTGCCTTCTTTGTGTAAGGATGATAAAAAGGGTCTTTCTTGGGAAAGTGACTTTGGGAGTCTCCTCCATAGAGGACACTCTGCTGTAGGGACTTTCCCGACCAAGATCCTGACTGCTGTGATACAGGACTCCCCCAGCCAGATGTGCAGGAGTTGGTGCTTCCTCGGATTGGTGACGTATTGCTTCTTCTTTACCTCTCTTTCTGTTAATATAATAGTCTTTGTTTCTCTAAGATTGTATAATCATATGTAATCACATTTATGTGCATGTATGTTTATGATTATTATCATTATTAAATCATTTATAAGCTAGGAACAGTGTGAACGTGTCTTTGTGGGTACAGATCCGAACCTGTGAAACAAATTATAAGTGCTGTGCAGCCCGTAACACTTTACTGTTACACATAACAGTTATTATTTCTCATGGTGAAAGTATTATGGTGTTAATCTAATAATTATAAGGGTTATAGGAAGAACATCAGATCAGAGTGTCAGTCTCATTTAAAAGAGTTTCAACTTAGGTAGATAGTGTAATGAATACAGCTCCAGGTCTGGAGTAGGGAAAATTCCTCTTCTTGAGTTCAAATCTAGCCTCAGATACTTATCAGCTGTGTGACCCTGGGCAAGTCACTGAACTCTGATTGCCTCAAAAAAACCAAACAAAAAATGCAATACAGAACAAAAAACAATTTCGCAACCTGGGGTTAAGAGATTTTGCACCAGACTCTTCACTCTAGGTCGATGCTAATTTTATTCCCATACATTTGGGGTTTGGCATTCAACCAGTTTGGATGAGTCCTGAGGGGTTATCCAATCCATTCCCTTCATTTTACATATTTTCATTTTATAGGCAGCTTGGTGACACACTGGTTAGAAACCTGGGGTCAGGAAGATCTGAATTCAAATGCAACCTCAGATGCTCACTAGCTGTCTGACCTTGGGCAAGTCACTTTGTTTGCCTCAGTCTACCTGGAGGATAAACGTTTAGTTTCCAGTGATAGAGCACTGAAAAGTAGAAACTTTCACAACAGATTTATAAGACTGGAGATATTTATTGAAAGATATACAAAATCAGGCAGATTTTAGCTGCTCTGCAGTCCCTTACCTTTAATCCCGAAGTAGCAACTCCTTTTCAGCAAATGGACTAAGTCTTAGCTTCCTACACTCTGAAGCATTTGCTCTAGCATTGAGCCATCCACAGCCTCAGAGGGGAGGTCACTCATTATGCCTCAAAGGAGGGCTAGATAGAAAAATATTAGCCATGGTTTGTGACTTACTTCCTGAGATCATTGTGTGCAAAGTACCTCAGGGAGAGAAGCAAGAGATTCAGAGAAACTTGTGACCTGAAAAAGATCTCTTATCTTGTCTCTGGGATGAGTCTGAAGGAACTGAGGACAAATGCAGCATTCTTTTCATACTAAGGATTATGGAATTAGGCCTTCTGAGCCAGGCTATGGGCTACTAAGATTCTGTAACTCATCATATTAAAATACTATCATCTAGCCAAAATCTATCCTTTCATGTAATAATATCATGAGAAAGTTTTTAAGCTGCCTTCCTGAAATCTAGCCATAGCCATAGGTCTACGCCATTTTCCTGATCCACCACCATTGTAACAGTTCTGCCTCTCATAAGCTAAAATTAGTGTGATCTGATATGACTTCTTGTTGACAGACTCATTTAGTAGTGATCCCTACTACCTTTTTCAATGCTCAACAACTACATTTTTTTAAAAAACCCATTTAATATTTCATTTTTCCTGTAGAACAAAATATTAAATTTTTTTAAAAGTATGGTTGCTGAACATTTAAAAAGGATAGTAAAAATGACTTTTAACATTCATTTAAAAATTTTTTTGAGTTCCAAATTCTCTCCCTCCTTTTTCTCCCACATCATTGAGAAAGCAATTTGATATAGGTTATACATGTGCAGTCACGCAAAACATATTTCCATATTAGTTATGTTGTGAAAGAAGAAACAGACAAAAAAAACCCCAAGAAAAATAAAGTAAAAAAAAGTGTGCTTCAGTCTACATTCTGACTCTACCAGTTCTTTCTCTGTAGGTGGATAGCATTTTTTCCTTTCATTTTTAATTTATGGAATAAAACAAGCATTTCCATAACATAGTACAATAATAAAGATGATTGTACATGAACCTGCAAATCTGCAATGCACAACTTGCTATTTCTTTCAAATACATAGACATTCCTATTAAACATATTTTCATGTTAGTGATGTTGTAAGTAAGAATTAGAGCCAATAGGAGGAATCAAAAGAGGAAATAAAACACAACAGAAGGAAAAAAATGGCAAGTAGCATGCTTCAATCTGCATTCAAACTCCATGGTTCTTTCTTTGGATGTGGATAGCATTTTCCATTATGAATCCTTTGGAGATGTCTTAGGTGCTTCCATTGCTGAGAAGGGTTTAGTCTATCAATATTAGTCATCGAACAACATGGCTGTTATTGTGTACAGCGTTCTCTTGGTTCTGCTCACTTCACTCAGCATCAGGCCATACAAGTCTTTCCAGGTTTTTCTGAAGTCTTCCTGTTCATCATTTCTTAAAGCATAATATATTCCACTACATTCATATACCACAATTTGTTCAGCTATTCTATCATATACTTTCAACAAGGGATTGTAGATTCAATGCAATAGATGAAGGGCTATCATGTGTAAGAGAAGCTGGAAATCTTGGGTTACCACAGAGGACTGAACTGGAATGACTACTGAGAGGTATATTTTGTCTCAATTTAAGTAAGAGCTTTTTAACAAATGGTATTCTGAGGATAGAATGGGCTGATTTTCTGTTTCCCACCTCTAGAATTATTCAGTTATAATGATGATCACCTCTTTGCCCCTTCTAATGAGCTGTGGGGCTCTTCGTCTGGGGTCAGCCCTGTCCATAAAGTGAGAAGCAGGTGATAAAGAGAGTGGTGAGGCCAGAGATATGGTGGCCATAAGAATAATATGCATCTAAAATATGGCTGATGGCATTTGAGGAGAAAACACAGAGTATTTTAGCTGTACTAGTATCTATGTGACCTTAGGCAAGATATTTCATCTATCTATCTCATTTTGCCCTTCCTCATTATCATCCTAGCTAGCATAGAGCTAGCATTTATACAGCACTTTAAGATTTGTAAAGTGCTTTATGGACATTATCTCATTTGATGCTCATAACAAACATGGGAGGCAGGTGATGTTATTATCCCTACTTTTAGGGATGAAGGACTTGAGGCAGACAAAGGTTAGGTGACCTGTTCAAGGTAAGACAGTTAGTGAGTGTCTGAGATTGGATTTGAACTCAGGTCTTCCTGACTCCAGCCCGTTTTCAAATCACTGTGTCACCTAACTGCCTATAAAATAAAAATATGTAAAATGAGGAGAACCTCTAAGGACTCTTCCAATTATCAATCTACGATTCTATGAGACTGAATTTGTGAGTGTCCCAGGTCCTGAGTGGTCCCATGGATCTGGACATTGTCTCTGCATGGGATAATGAATGAAAAAACAAATGGGGAAGATAATTAATCCCTGAGAAGGAAAACATTGGGGACAGCCAGTGAAGAGGCCCCAAGTCAGGAAATGGAGTGTCTTGTGTCCATCTAGAGGCATGCCCCAAAGTCAGGACTTCCCATATACAGTTCATGTGCCCCTTCCTTATCTCTGCCTTGGCTTACCTGTCTTCCCTCCAGTTTCAGCTAAAATCCTGCCTTCTATAGGAAACCTTTGCCAGGACTCCTTAATGCTAGTGTCTTTCCTCTCTGTTGAGTATCTACAGCTTTTCCCATCTATATCTTGTTTGTTCATAGTTGTTTTCGTGCTGTCTCTCCCATTAGAGTGTGAGCTCCTTAAAAGGAGGAAGTGTTTGCCTTTCTCTGCATCCCCAGCACATGGCACAGTGACTGGCACATAGTAGGTACTTAATAAATATTTATTGACTATTGACCATTGTGCACTACCTATGTCTAAGAAAAAAGGTGTGAACGCAAAGCCTGCAAAGTGATTATTTGACACATTTTAATTGTATGTTCTTTGATACTGTAGCCCTGAGTAAAGGCTGCATACAGTCAAGCCAGGCTTATGTGATTGCCTCCACTGCATAAGGCTTACATAATTAGGTCTCGTTGAAATACAGCACAAAGGGAAGAGAGTAGACATTTCCCCTAATGGATAGGGACTAAATCTAGGAGTTAATCAATTCCTAAAGCTAGGAAGTTCTATACAATCCACAGCTTTAGATAGATAAGGAGGATATTACCACCCTTGAAGGGGACAAAGTTAGAGAACATGTGGGACGACGAGTCCTTATGGAAAATCTCTAAGTCCTTATAGACCTTAGGCTCGCCTCCAGATAAACAGCTTCCATGACTCTTGCCCTAGCTCGTTTGTTATGTTTGTTGATTCCAAGTTCTTACTCATGCCCAGCCTTGAGCCAGATTGCTGACTTGGGTAGACAATGCTAAGAACTGGGCAGGAAAACAATAGATATGAAACTTGGCATTGAAACTATTTTCTCATGAGGTAATGAGGATCTTTAGCTGCTTAGATTGTTTATGTTATTAATTAGCGCTTGTAGATCATTTCTCATGGTACAAAGCTATTTTCTATATAATCTTGTAACCCCTGAAAATAAACTAGTCTTATGACATCAGTTTCAGACTCACCTAGCCTGACTTTTCTTTCTCCACTTTCCCTTTCCCCTTTCTCTTCACAGCTCTGCCACACATTACTCCAGCTGCTGGCAGTTGGCAACTGAACAGGGATTCTCAGTCTTTGGATGGGAAAGCTGTAGACCCCGGGGGAGTAGAAGAGGTTAAGAGAGACACAGTGGCACCTTACTAGAACCATGGGAAAAGGTAAGGGGATTTAGTCGTGTTGAAAGAAACACAACACTAGGCTTATTCGGGGATTTCTCTGCTCTCCTTTAAAATGGATCAGACTCAGTTTAAAAATAGAGAGCAACACCTTCAAGCTTTCTTTCCTCTCATTTGGTTAAAGTGTGTTCTTCCTGGAGAAAGGAAAACCATGAAAATAAAAAATAAAAATAAATATGAATATTATTTGATTTGTGCAAGGAATTTCTAGCAAACCCTTCTGAACTTTTGGATTTTCCCTGTCATATTTTTTCTGTATTTGTTCTGTGTTTGTCGGTGCGGTATGATGTAATCTGATAACCTTTGCAACTAGGTAGCAAGAATAGAATTCTAGGGGCTGCAGATGGACTTTGGAATGCTATTTTCTTTCTCCCCTTCTCCCTCCCTAATACCAGCCACCTCCCAGGAGTGGGTAGATCAGAGAGAGAAGGAGAGAAAAATACTTTATTATATGATTGGTAATAGACAAGAAAGTTTAAGCATGCAGGAATGAGAGAAGTAAGGGTGGAAAGAAAAGCATAATCTGTTTGCATGAATAGTGTGAACAGAGAGTTTGAGAGTAAAAGATCTGGGAACTTTTAAAGAATTGTTGGAATTTTTTTTTTCTCTCTCACTTTACATTCTAAGCTGTGGCCAAGTTTTCGAGTGTGAAGTGAGAGATAAGAAAGATAAGTTGTTGGAAAATTTTCTCTTCCCCACCGCTTTGGCCAGGTTGTGGTGCCCAACTTGGCCAGGGCTGGGATGTGGGAGAGAGAAAGAGGAAGAGGAAAGGAGGGTGAATTTTTCCCCTCAGATCAAAAAGAAAAGTTTTTATGTATTGGAACACAACCGAAAGATAATTTAGTTCATTCTATTGGTAATGTGTTTGTTTCAAGTTTTAAAAATCTAGTATTGTTTCCAATTGGTAAACTTTTGTATCAGTTATGTCAATCACTTTTTCATAATTTGGATGTTATTAAAATGTGAACTAAAAGAAACTGAAGGACAGTGGGGAAACTGTGTAAAACCATTTAAATTATTTTATCAAGCCCTGCTAAACTTGTCTTATAATGTTTTGTAACTATCAATTAGAAAATCAGGTATTTCCATCTTTACCTGTAATTAAAGAACTATCCCTTATGAAAAGTACCAGATTGTTAACTAAATTATTTGAAGTTACTGTTTTAATGTTAAAACCTAGAATTTTTAATTACTTAGGAGTGAAAAGGAGGGGCACAAGGCAATTTCCTTTACTTTGTAAACTTGCCAAGGCTCCTAGTAACCATCTGTGTGGGCAAGGTCATTCTGCCCTGAGAAAAGAACTTGTTTGCATTATAGAGTTCCTAAACAATTAATTTGACTTCCTGAGAAGTTGCAACTTTATGTACAATAGGTAGAAATGATTTCTAATAATTGGCTTTCACACCAGGACAAGTTTAAATTTGAGAAAAAAAGATGTTAAGTGAAATCTCTTACATATGTGAGTCCTACTAAATCTTTATTACTTATTACAACTCCATGAGAATAAAATTAACTGTATCTGGCTTTAAGCTGTGATTAGTGAAACTTGCTGTTTGAGGTAAAAGATTCTTAGGACTATAACTAATTTTGTTTTGAGTTTGAATTTGGGTATAGTTGTCTCCATTAAATCAGTATTTGAAATTTCCTTATTGTGTTTCTTTAAGAAGGAATGTTTCCCATCAAGTGCCAAAATTTTGTTCAGAACGCTATCAAACCTGTTAGGCAGAGATATTCTCAGAGAAAAACAATTCATTATATGGATGATATACTTTGCAGTTGTTCTACTACTAGCGAACTCTCCTTATTAATATCTGGGCTTTAACAAGCCCTTCAGTCTCATAGATTTATAATTGCCCCTGAAAAGGTACAAAAGAAACCACCCTTTGCTTACTTTAGACATATTGTTTCACAGTCTACAATTAGACCCCAAAATATTACAAATTAGGCAAAGATATTAATTAGCTTTAACCTGCCTCAAAGATCACATTAATCAGTTATTCAATCTTTTTACCACCCTCAGATACCTCACTAAGAATATTTACACCTCAAAAGATGAATTTAAACTAGTAGAATAAAAGATAGCTGAAACCCAATTAATTTCCCTTAATTTGTGGGGGCGTGATATTTTACATCAAATGGGAACTGTTATTTTCTTCTGCCCTCCCCCCCAATTTATACTGAAGGCTACTGTTTGTGCTTCTCCTATCCATAAAGCTGATAAAACACAATGGAAATCTGATAAACCTGTCTGGGTGGAACAGTGGCTTTTGACAAAAGAGAAGCTTTTTGCATTAAAACAGTTAGTCAAACAACTTTTAGAAGGACATACAGAACCCTCTACAAGTCCTTGGAATTCACCTGTTTTTGTTATTAAAAAGAAGTCAGGGAAATGGAGGATACTTCATAACCTCCAAGCCATTAATGACACTATGGTAACTTTGGGTCCCCTTCAATCCAGTCTCACCTCACCTGCTATAATTCCTATTTCCCGGTCTTTGATAGTTATTAATTTAAAAGACTGCTTTTTTACTATTCCATTGCAAAAAGCTGACAAATGTTGCTTTGCTTTTACAATACCCAGTGTTAACATAGAACAACCTGCAACCAGGTTTCAATGGAAAGTCCCTCCCCAAGGCATGAAAAACAGTCCTACAATGTGTCAAAATTTTGTTAATAAAGCTATACAACCAATTAGGAAAAAATTTCCCAACACAAAAATAATACATTATATGGATGACATACTTTGTAGCTGTTCCACTAAAAATGAACTCACACATTTATTACCTCAGCTTCAATTAGGTTTACAGGAATATGGGCTTATTATCACCCTAGAAAAAGTTCAAGAAAAATCTCCATTTTCTTACCTAGGTCATACTGTCACTAAAACAATGGTGAAGCCACAAAAAGTACACTTATATTAAGTGTACAAAAAGTACACTATATTAAGTGTACAAAAAGTACACTTAATTCTTTAAAAACACTTAATAATTTTCAAAAACTCTTAGGAGATGTTAATTGGCTTCCACCAGCACTCCAAATTACTACAGAACAATTGGTTAATCTCTTTTTCACACTTAGAGGAGATCCTGATCTAAATTACCCTAGGACATTAACTCCTGAGGCAAAAAAGGGAACTTCAGTTAGTGGAACAGAAAATTTCTGAAACTCAACTCACCCGTATTTCTTTAAATGAAGAGGTACAAGGTGCTATTCTTAGGACTCCAGTGTCCCTTACAGGAGTTTTATTTCAATCTGCTGGAGTCTTAGAATGGATTCACCTCCCTCATCAATTCCCCAATTCTATAACTTCTTATCCTACAATGGTAGCTTATCTAATAATGAAACTTCATAAAAGATATCTTCAACTTACAGGAAATTTACTTTCTGTTATTCCTCACCCTTATAATAAAAAACAAATAGACACTCTTGTTTCCTCTTCAGAGGATTAGCAAATTGCTATTACTTTTTTTTTTTGGCCGTATTGATAATCACTTACCATCTCTCAAGACAGTAATCTTTTTTTACTAATTATTCATGGGTATTTCCAAAAATTGTTAGATCTAACCCCATTCCTTCAGCACCCAGTGCATAGAGTCAGTATAATTTCCAAATAGGATTCACCTTTGGCAAACTCTTCCCTTTGGAGCTTGGAGGAGAATGCTTCTTCCTCCCACGGCCCCTGTCCCCAAGTGCTCACTGCTTTTACTGACAACTTAAGTAGTGAAAAAGCTGGTTATTATATTTTTCAACATCGTCACGAGGTAATTCAAACTTCCTTTTCCTTTGCCCAGCAGGCAGAACTTTTTGCTCTGATTCTCCTTTTTCAAAAAATTTTTCTAAACCTCTTACTGAAAGTAATGCCATTATTGATTCTCAACTATAATTCTATCTAACACTTTTAACCCCTACCACACAACAAGCTATTAATTCTCATTCCCAGTTTCACCAAAATGCTAACACTTAACTTTTTGTTAAGCTTTTATTGAGCCTTTTATTAACTATATTCTACCAATGCAGCAAACTTAATTGTAGAGAGGATAACATTTGGTGACCATTTTTGAATAAACTCCTGCAGAATTAGAAATATAGTTTAAAAAATAATTTTTTTTAAAAAAAGGCTGTTTCAAATGTGTCACTTTTATTAACCCTCTTTCTTTTGCCATTAATCCCAGAGGCTTTTCTCCCAAACATATTTAGCAAATGAATATAACTCATATGCCTTCTTTTATAAAGCTTTCTTATTTTCATGTTATAGTTGATATTTTTTCTTCTTTCACTTTTGCCACTTTACAAACAAGTGGAACAATTAAACATGTAATCAATCATATTTTACAAGCCTTCCCGGTTATAGGTGTATCTAAACAAATCAAAAGAGATAATGCTCCTGCTTACATTGGCAAAGCATTTTCTTCCTTTTATGCTTTTTATAACATTTCTCTGATCACAGGCATTCCATATAATTAAAAACAAAGTTATTAAAACTATTCTTCTTAAACAAAAAAGGGGGTATGTGGGCTATTACCCCTCATTGACAATTGGCTATTAATTTTTAAAATATTAAAAAAGATGGATACACTCCAGCCGGAAAACATCTTGAGAAAAATAAACATCCAGAGGCCTGGATCCATTATTAACATGGGGACTAGGGTATGTTTGTATTTTTTCACAGAAACTTTGATAAACCTGTCTGGATACCAGAGAAAAATGTCCAAGCATGTACCACAACTCATAGCTCGAATGCAAAGTATGAGGATTCAGGGAAAGCGCAGAAGGAGCCAATCTACAGTGACTCAGTCGCCTTCCCACATGGAGTCAAGTGAAAGCTACCTCTCATCGAGTGATGGAAGACTCCTGAACTTGTATTTTTAGCAATAGTAGCTTTACTTTCTGCTCAAGTGTGTAATGTACAGAGTGCTCAGCACTGGACTTATTTTTCTTTTCCACCCTGGTTGCAACCCCTCACGTATATGGACAAATTGGGA